ATTGGCTGGCCAACACGACCGCTGTAGGCCTCGTATTCAATGTCTTGACGCGTCCAAATAGAAGCCAAGTGCATGGTGCTCTTCTCGAAAGTCATGTGCTCATCCCTTATCTAGCGAATTTTCCCCTCTCAGAAAGGGTTTTTATCGTTTTCTCGTCAAGATGTGTAGTACTTAGGTTCCGCGACACAGGATTAGCGGTGGAGCACGAGGAATCAATTAAAAGCCGAGGTCGATTATAAACGCGCTCCACCGCTAACCAACAAGTCTCGCGATCATGTACTTTCCGAGCTGCAAAATCAATACATATTTTTTCCCTGTCGGAACTGCAAGAGTGTCGAAAGCTATGATTGCTGCTTACTGTCACTTTAGCAATTTATGTTACCACCACTTACAGACCTATTAGTACAAAGTTCATGATGGAACATTGGATTTGAATCGATAAGTGAACCAACCTGATGGATTTTGAGCAAACAAGGAGCAGTATAGGATTAAGTGCTGAATTACTGCAAAACACGAGCATCACAGTAAATCCTGCCCATTTCCCTTCACCCGTTCCAATAGTGATCACCACCTGACCGACTATGAACACCGCCATATTGATGATGCACGGCAAGAGAAGCCTGCAAGCAATTACAGTACACTATTTCAGCCTAGTAACAATACAGTACTTCTACTATTAGAAGGATAAACATTTTCAAGAGGGCGTTGATATAGCACAGCTGCGCTATCCTGTGTGTTACCAGGTAAAGGCGCGGTGTAGGAGGTGTATTTCACCAGAACCGCCTCTTGCCTCTCAGCCTAACGGCTTTTATGCCGTAGTCTCACCGTGTTGAGCCTAAGAGCTGTAAGACTACGCCTTGAAACCGTCAAACTGGAACTGTAAGAGGTGACTTGCGCGGCGCAACGGAGAGCGCCTTCACCCCAAACGACTGGGTGCGGTTTCACGTCTCCGGAGGTCGAGAATTCTCCTCATAACTTAGTATTCTTATAATAACGTTTGGATAGCGAACTTGGCGTTGAACACAACAGTTATCATAATAACCCCTCCCCCTCAAGAGTTTTGCGATAAAGAGAAACCTCACCTGCTTTCAACCCGGCTATTCAGAGTGCGCGTGAGGGTTTTGCTCGCTGTCATTAAACGACGTCGTTTCACAAGTATAGTTATCGTCCACCTAGAACAGTAACTTTTGTTACAATAATAAGCGTGAACGTTTCGGACCATACATATACTTTCCTTGTCCTTTTAGCAGAAGTGTTTCCTAAACCTTTACTAAAGAATGAACCAAAAACGCCGTATCAGCTCTTTATGTTTCTCAAAGCAAAATGCAACAGCCAGAGTGGAACAGAGAGGGGTGGAGAGTTGGGCTGAGGTGGAAGACGGTCGTAAGGTGCGGTCACATTGTCGCTATGGTGCCGGGATGTGTCATGAAACATCATGTGACGCGCTAAGTGGGACAACTCGTCCGGATCACTGGAGTACACGGTTGGCGGCCTACATAAGTGGCAGCAGCGTCACTTTGCCCCTGTTTCTCAGAGCGTGTCCAAGGGATCAGTCGAGAAAGCCAATGGGGTCAGTGATCCGGACGAGTTGTTCATCTTCGAAATGGGTCCCATTGTGAGCCACAACACATAGTAGCAGGTAATAATAGTAGCGGGTAAAATAGTCAACGTCGTCGCTTTGAACAGAATATACTCGTGTGTGGGACGTTACATCTAAGTTGCGGTAATACAAACTAGCTACTATTTTCCAGTTGCTCGGTGCTCGACATATAGCATCGCTGTCACGTTAAGTCGCATAGGTCTTGTGCGAATGCTGCGCGGTGTGACACTTCCACCACCTCCTCACCTTGGGCACAGTTTTGAGACCACTATTACTTTAACTCCAGGACACACGCTGTCTTGTAGCTCAGAGATGGCGCTTACGCTTCTAAGTACTGGATGCTGTCCATTCCAAGGGAACCCTTCTTTTAGCGCGACGATGGACATATAAGAGCAAGGCCTGTTTGGGAATGTGAAGAGGTTAAGTGACGACAGTCTCATTGGCCGTTACACACATAAATAAAGCATGAACACCCATACAACCCTGGTACTGCTTGAAGTGCATGGCGCACACCGGGAATGGATCGACCAACGTCAAAAAAAATTCCCTTCTGAGATTTGATTTGAGGTTTCGCTCGACAAGTAAAAACTCACGTGTACAGTATGACAGGAGGAATAATGGCCATTAAATGACATATGAAGAACATTGTTGATTGTCCTCCAGAGAGGTAGAGATCGAAATCTTCAGCCAACATTCCATACTGCGACGGCTCATAGTAAAATGTCACATGCCACGGTTGGAAGTGCGTTGCCAGCACCTGCAAACGAGTAGATGACGTCTGAAGATTCTCAGATAGATTTGAAGGAGTGCTATCTGGAAGATTTGTAGCCAGAAGGGGGGGATAATCGAAAGCAAGTGCAGCTAGTCACACCTTTCTCTGCTCGTGTACACTCCCTCAACGGCATAATATTTGTCCAGTGCATTACCCTAGTCCACTACCCTAGAGCACCGATTCAGACCTAGAGCGTGCAGAAACGAAGGGTAGCCTAATCTTACGCCCTCTTCACTTTCCCAGAACTTTCCCACCTCCTCCTCCCAACTACCTTTGCCTTCAATTATTGAACATTAAGCGAAAATGAGATTTATTTTTCAAAAAAATACCGTAAACCGTCGTTACCAAATTGTCCGGTCGTCGCTAGGTCTTTACCATTACGTGTTTTGGGTTCAGGTAATGATGTACATAGATGAAGGGCGTACCTCTTCTTAATCTGAAGGTTACCAAAGAAAGGAGATGTTGTGTAAAATAAAGAGCTGATTTTTCTGCTCAAGGCTCTGAAAAGAGCCCGAGAGGAAGTGAAGCTTGTTTAAATATTGCTTCGTTGTTACAGCTTGCTTTGTTGCTCATCTATTCGATTCCACAATTAATTCAAACATTCTCGTGTCGCCATTACTAACCAAAAGAGGGCATGCCTTTGCCACGGGCGCTCATTATATCGACTTTTCTTGCGTAAACCTTCTTAGGGAAAAAGAAAACTTGCAATGCAACTGCGACTCGTGACAAATCAGAGGCCAGTTCTTCCGTATGCAGGCTGGTGTTGGATAGTAGGCATTCCAGTAACAACTTTCTCAGAAGTTAATCAGAGACGAGTGAGGAGAATTCTTACAAAGAGATTTTGTGCTGAGTGAGTACCCCCTTTGTTAGGAAAAAAATAAAAATTCTTTGCTGAAGCATTCCAGTTCTCCATCTTCAATTGCACTCATACATATGAATAGCAGATTCGTCTGTTTGAGAAAAATGGGAGGGCAGCTAAATAAGGACGAGAGAATGCTGAGGATGTTGAGACGGCAGACACAAACGAACCCGCTTATCTCGTTCGCTCAGGGAGGAGAGGGGCTCGAAGGATGGAACCTCGACGCCTTCACTCCACGGCGTCATGCTACGCAGACCACTGAACCTTAGTTGAGGAGCTGCTCCACTCAGATAATCGAGGGAAACTATGCCTCTTAGGTAAAAGTTGAAGTTAGACAAAATCAAATTATTTGACGAAATTTAATGAGCCACCTGTTAGCATGCTTGAGTTCTCATCAGTCCAGCTGATTTCACAGCATCTACATGGGCCACGAAGATCAGATTTGATGGAATCTTTGTTTTTTTTCTATTACGCCCACCTCGCTTCCTTTCTACCTTTTCCTGTTTGACGCTGATCTCCTGCGCCAAGGAGACCTTTGGAGCCTTTTTTGGCGGGCGGTGACTCGCGAAATGGAAGTTTCCCGAGACAAAGAAAATAATAATATTGGCGATTTTCCGATCATAAGGCCCAATCATGGGAAAGGCTTCGTAATGGCGAACTGCTCGTCATCAACTTCTTGAGCTACCGTAGCAATTTTTCGATATTTCTGAAGAGGGCCGGCACAATCGTATATAGTGATGGTAGAAATCGCCAAGTACCTACGTTGGCTATACAGCTTTCACAAAATCTATTTAACTACAGTGCCGGATTTAAAGACATGGTCCGCGATGACCTACGGTCAGAACCTCTCATTTGCACACGGTTGCCATCACA